TAATTAAATCCTACTGAAATACTTAAAATTAAATTGAAACCTACACTTTTAACAAATTCTTAATTAGGATATAAGACCTAATTAGGAATTGCTGAATATTATTTAGTAACTATAATGTCCCTCTTTAGTTAAAAATGAAAATTGATTATTTTATCCCTCTAAAGTGGTTCATCATCTCTTATTATTAATATCTAGACAAAAAAAATATAAATAATTTTTTAATGTTTGAAATTTTGTAATATAACTAAAATCTTCAAAATATTTTCATAAAACATTTCAAATTATAATATATGTAATCTTTAAATTAATATTTTTAATATTTTTTTCTTTTCAGGTTGTAAATATTTATTTTAAAATTTTAAAATATTTTAATCATAATAAAAATTTAATATTAAATCGTAATCATTTACATTTTCAGTTGGATCCAACATTGTTTAAATAAATAAAACTAACGTAAATTACAGGAACTGAAAATAAAAAATATTTATAATTTTACTTATATTTGTAATTTAACATGTTTTATTAAAATATTTTTAATAGTATAAGTTATATATACAAATTTCAAACACTGTAAAATTACTTATATGTTTTTTGGTCTAAAAAAAATCATAAGAGATGAGGAATTACTCGGGAGAGGTATATTAATCAAGTTTTCTTTTTAATTAAAGAAGGACATTTTGGTGATTTAACAACATTCAAAAATCTCTAATTAGGTCTCATGGCCTAATTAGAAATTTACTAAAAGTATAGGCCTAAATCTGAATTTAAGTATTTTGACTGGATTTAATTGGGATTCTCCCAATTAATTAATTGTTGATGCGATGATATTGGAAGAAGGCAGAAACCAGAATTTAGGCGGTCAGGTCTGGTGGTTGGACACCAGGATTGTGGCAAGTAAAGGTAAAACCACCTCAAACTGCAAGATGCGGTTTAAGCGGCTCATTATTATCACCATTCCCATTTTTCTTTCTGCTCTTTTTTTCCCAAAAAAAAATTATAATTATAATAACGTTGATGCGGTCTTTTTTTCATTAACTGAGAAATTTGCTGTGCGATTTAAATGTATAATGATCGCTACGGACTCCCCAGAACGCTGCCGAGTTATATGTCTACTCCTCTAATCTTATTTACAAGTTACTTTCAATATATTTCATACAAACAAAAAAAACCTTAAATTTTATTAACTCTTATTTAAAATTTAACAATTTTTTAACTTTATTTCTATTTAATATACATTATATTTCATGCAAATAAAATTAACACAACAATAAATAAAAAATAAAATTGTGTATTTATATAAAAAATTTCTCCTACTGTCATAAAAATATAGTTAAAAAATATCTTCTTTCTTTACTTCATAAATAGGGCAAAAAACAGGGACCAGGGGAGTGTATATTTTAAAACCCCGGAGTACATTAATGCTGTTCTTGACCAAGTGTTCGACGTTGCCTTGACCGACTCATTCCAAATTGATGACAAGGAGTTGGGTTGTTATTTATTTAGAAGACGAACAAATAAAGGCATTCTAATACATCCAAAATAATAATTCTGTCTTTGACGAAGTCTAAATATATTAAATAAAAAAAATTAGGTTAAATTTTTTATACTTAGTATGTCAAGTTCTCCTAAAAAAACTTAATCTAGGGATTATTCTTATATTATAAAAAAGACTCAAAATACGTTATGAGCAGTCAAAATGGGCATAATGTTTGCAATAATACATATGAAAGTGGACTTGAAACGGTACGTACGGCTTGGTTCAGGAAATGCCTGCTGTTAGAACTAAGCACGCATGCCTAGTCATGTTGTTTAAATTGTCTTGGAATTAAACAGACTTAATTTTGCAAGTTGTGACTTGTTTTGCTCCACAACAATGTATCCCATGAGCACAATCAGATTATATTTACTTTTTGACGGGAAACAAGTGTCTCAGCGTCCCGCAAAGGAAATCATCAGAACTGCCGACAGGTATTTTTAGCGTATCAGCGGCTGATAAATTTAAGCGTATACTCATATACCAAAGCCACGTTTAGGACAAGTTTTGATTGGCAAAAAAGGGGTTAATCACAAAATCAGTTTTAGTACTCATCACTTTGATGATCACTTTAAGATCGTCAGATCTGAATCATCTATATCTGATTTGAACTGTCTATATTTAAAATTTTTAATTAATTATTTTTAAATAATTTTTGGAAAACATAATAATTAAGATACTATCTTTATTTTGGATTATATATATATTAAAATAATCATTTTAAACAAATAAAATTAGAAAAAAGGAATTAAATCTGTAGGATCCAAGTGAAATTAGAAGGTCTAGATTCAATAAACTTGCAATGCTCACCGTTACGATAAACAGCGAAACTGGATCCTTCCATTTTGATGTCAATTAATTGAACAACGACACAATTGGCCAAACAGAAAACCCACCGCGCCATGCTTCAATTAATGCAAATAGCTGAGCACTGAGCTCGTCCCATCATCAACACACTAACTAAAGTCACGAGCTCATGTTGGTTAGCCTCACAAAAGACAGAGGTGAACAGAACTTGCTCCTTACTAGTATAATGAGAGGAAGGGGAGGGGAATAATTTTAATGAAGGGAAAGAGAGAAGAGATTTAGAAAAAAAAAAGAGAGGGGAGGAAAAAATATTTTAATATGGATAATTTTGTTCTTATTTTGTTTAAGATATGGGTATAATAGTCACAACATGACAAAATATGGATATAATGGTCACAACATAGTAAAATATTACCATTTCCCTCCAAATCTTCTTAATTTTCGAGGGGAGATTGAGGAGAAGAGGGGAAGGGAAATTTTTAAAAATTTTCCCTCAAAAATTTTCCCTTCCCCTCTTAAAATTTGTGTGTTACTAAACAAGAAAAAATGATTAAAATCCCTCTCCTTCCCTCTTTCCCACCCAAATCACTCATACCAAACACACCCTAAATCTCTTAACAACTGTAAAGGGAATTTAAAAGCGTGAGCAGAGTGAGTGTAAATAAATATTCACCTTCCTCACTCCCATTCTCTCTTTATTATCCTCTCCAGTTCAGTTATGGTCTCGCAGTTACCACTGTGTGTATACATGCCCCGCAAGCCACACGGCCACGACCCATTATGGTCTCTTCGAGGTTATTAGAACCCCCTGTACGCTGTTGTGGGGGGCATCAAATTCCTCTTGACCTATATAAATTAAACAACCGCCTCTCTATATATAAATACACGTATACTATACAGATATGATTTCGTGTTCAACATCCAAATACGATCAATTTGTATATTTTGATGGCATTTAATTTAGTTTAATGAATTGAGTGTTCTCAAAATTTCCCTGTAGTACTTCTGTGATCATTAAATCACATAATTTTTGCGTGCATGCGTAGACGTGGGGTACGTGCAGGAGCAGCCAAGGCTGAAACATGCAAAGCAGATGAGACAGAGAGTTTGAATCGTAGCCGACAAAAGCACGCAGCTTTGTGGTTAATTATGCAGTATATAAAGAAAGCCTCTTTGGATGTGGTTGTATGAATGTAAATTGGAAACAAGAGCAGAGAAAAATGAGTGGGAAAGCGAAGCAAGTGACGAGGATGGCGGTGGTTGTGGCGATATTGACGGTGGCGCAGTTAGCGACAACCAGCCACGGCCAAGACGTGGCCATGTGCCTTCGGGCCTGCGGCACCTCTGTTGTGTCCTGCTTCACTAATTGCTTCCTTAACAGAAAGAATTTTATGCCCTGCTCTGCTAGGTGTAGCCAGGACAATTTCAACTGTATGAGGGCCTGCACTAATGCTTTCATTGTCGTCCCTCCGAATTCCTTCACTTACCCACCAACCCCTTGATTCCCTTCTTCATCCTCCTCACTTTATGGTATTCCCTTTCAATAATCAATCGTTGTACTAAAATGTGGATATATCTTCCTCTGCTATATTTTATATTCTAATTCATGCCTTCTTGATCAGAGAGAGGCTTCTGTTACTGCCCACCTAATTAGTGTGGGTTATGATTGTTAAGGAATTATCTATTGATATTAAACTGTTTATTCAAGCTCTCAACTTAATGAAAGAGGTGCTTCCGTAAGCTTATTGAACTATGCCATGGTCAGGGAGCTCAGTCCTGTATTCAGAAGCTTCTTCTTCTTCTTCTTCGATTTTTTCTTTGGCGGTGGATATTTTATGGGAATGATCTCATCTCTGCCCGCTACTACGAGGACGTTGATGAATATACGTACCTGCACGTAATTAAAAGAAGAAAATATCCGTAAAAAAGCAACCTTACATTTTGCACCTTTCTCTCACTCTTCAAATCAAATCACTACCATCAAATTCTCTCATTTTTTACTATATTGATATTTCGTTTAACCATTTCCCAACAATTCTCTGACGAGGAACAGATTTTCCAAGCCATTGGATTTTGCCGGCGTTCCCCGCCGCTCCCCCCTCATCGCCGCCGTCTATTTTCTGAACTCTAATCACATTCGCTCATTTTTATGCGAACGCACGGTGGCGCAACCATCTCTGTGAAACCTTGTTTCCTTCCTACGCTAAAGGTATATCTTCTATTTCCCGCCTTTTTGCTGCTTTGCGCCTTCTTTCCGCGGTCCGCAGTTCACGCTGCCCTTGTTTCTTTAGGCCTTTTGTCTGAATCGTATGACCTCCTTGAGGCTAAATTCTTTCAAATTCTGGAACCCGACGCTCTTGATTCATCATGCTATTTAACGGTGGCTATAAGGTTCTAAAATGCTTGAAGAAAAGCCAATTGTGTTTCTTCAATTATGCTTTATCATTGCATTTCCATTGCCTTTGAACGGGAACCTGACTATTTAAGCGTGGAATGAGAAGAGTTTCCTTTCGGTTACTTGTTAACCACATTTGTGTTCATTGTCATTTTCAGCGTCGAACTTGAATCTGGGGAATACGATATGATCAGCGTGTCATAGAGAAATGATCCTTTAAGTTGCAGGAAACGAATGTGTCATATATACTAGCTTAGAGTTTCGATGAAGAACGATAAAGAATCCAGATCAAAATGCAACAACCCTGTAAAGAAACCACGACGAGTGACAATCGACGATGTTCTGCGAGCATCCCAAGAGACGAAGGAAGAGAGGGAACAAAGGATCCGTAGTCTATTCAGTTTCTTTGATAAGGAAAATTCTGGTATCATAGATTATGCCCAGATTGAAGCCGGTCTCTCTGCGCTTCCCATACCGCCAGAATATAAGCATGCCAGGGATTTCTTAAAAGCTTGTGATGCCAACAAAGACGGACTAGTTGATTATAAAGACTTCAAGAAGTATGTAGATAACAAGGAGATTGAGCTTTACCGCATATTTCAAGCCATTGATGTTGAACATGATGGATGCATTATGCCACAAGAGCTCTGCAAGGCACTGGTAAAGGCAGGTATATATACCAGTCCACAGCCCTCTGTCATCTGCTAAAAATGTTAAATTTATGCCTTCCCACCTTACAAGTGGTTGTGAAGTATTGCTAGTTTGTGCAAAGTGCCTATTTTTAGTCCCTGTCTCTCTGTTGTAGGGATTCAGATTGATGAAGAGGAAGTTGCCCTTTTTATGGAGCATGTTGACAAGGATAATAATGGGGTTATAACATTTGAAAAATGGAGGGATTTTCTTCTGCTTTACCCGAAAGAGGTCACTATTGAGAATATTTACCGTTATTTAGAGCGTGCGTGCCTTGTTGATATTGGGGAACAAACTGTTAGTCCTGCAGGAATCAGTGGAAACATCCATGCAGGTAAATATTTGCTTGCTGGAGGATTGGCAGGGGCAGCATCACGCACAGCAACCGCACCACTTGATCGTTTAAAGATCATATTGCAAATACAAACCACACGAGCTCATATAATGCCTGCACTTAAAAATATATGGAAACGAGAGGGTTTCCTTGGGTTTTTCCGAGGCAATGGCTTGAATGTCCTCAAGGTGGCTCCTGAGAGTGCTATAAGATTTTACACTTATGAGACCCTAAAGACTTGGATTGTGAATTATAAAGGAGATGGACCAAACTCTGATATTGGGACTGTAGGGCACGTGCTGGCTGGTGGGATGGCTGGTGGGATAGCTCAAACTGCTATATATCCAATGGATCTTATCAAAACACGAGTACAAACCTATGCTTATCGTCAAGGCGCAAGAATTCCTCGTCTTGAAACCCTCTCTAGAGATATATGGGTTCACGAAGGACCTCGTGCATTCTATAGAGGCCTGGTTCCTTCTTTTCTTGGGATTATTCCTTATGCTGGCATAGATATAGCTGCGTATGAGGCTCTCAAAGATATGTCCAAGAAGTATATTCTTCGTGATGGAGGTGTGTGTGTGTGTGTATTAAACTCCTTTGGCTCTGCTAAGATATTCCTTTAGCTAGTATATGTGTTGAAACTCTCATTTCTGCTGCAGAACCTGGTCCTCTTGTACAACTGGGTTGTGGGACAGTGTCGGGAGCCCTTGGAGCAACATGTGTGTATCCATTGCAGGTCGTTAGAACAAGGTAAACTTTGGCTTATAAGGTGGCTGGTCTGTTTCTTTGGTAGCTTATACGTTTGATTTGTTTTGACCCCTATATCGATAAGCCACATATGTGTGTTGCTTTCAGAATGCAAGCTCAACGCTCCAATACTAGGACAGCTTATAATGGAATGACAGAAGTGTTCAAGAGAACTTTTGAGCACGAAGGGTTTAGAGGATTCTACAAAGGGATATTTCCTAACCTTCTCAAAGTCATTCCATCGGCAAGCATTACCTATGTGCTTTACGAAACCGTCAAAAAGGGTTTGAAATTAGAGTGAAATTTTTACTGCTTCGTTTGTGCATTTGTTTGACCAAGTTGGCTGCCGGCACGAGAAAACTATATATCGACGACGGTCTAGCAGCAAATACAGCAATGGCAACGGTGAAGTCGACGGCGGCGAGAACAAAATTGATTGGTTCTGGCATGGTGATTAATTACACTAATGTGGGGGGTTTGAAATCATTCAATAGATTTTTACTGGGTATTTGGGTGATATAGAGGAAATACTGGAATATCCGATTTTGTAGTGTTTAGCAATCATATGCCTATTAGCGATTTAGTGGCAAAAGAAAAAAAAACCATATATGAATTGCATTTAATTATTTTAACATAATTCTTATTTCGTAAGTTATTTGTTTCTTTATCGTTGAGTTCCTAGCAGTTTTTTGAGTCTGTCGTAATTTTATTCTGAGTTGGTTGGTTTTTAGCTGATAACAGAATAACATTGTACAAGATTCTTTTTATTTTGCGTGGAAATATATCTCAGAAGAGATACTTTAATTTCCCCCAAGATAAATTATCACGCATTTGTAATTCTTTAATTTTTCATCTGCAATCCTTGTATTCGGTTGATATTTCTACAATATCATCCAATAATCTGATTACAACTTTTTCAAATAATAACGACCATTATTATCCGCATAACGTGAAATTTGCTCATCTTTTTTAATTTTTATCCGTGACACTTCATTATCATTGCAATTGATTATTATTCAACAAAACATCTATTTAAGCAGTATATAAAATGAAATTATTTTGAGATTTCCTTCTTTTTTTTTTGTCATCAAAGAATTTTGACTAAAAGCTCCGATTTTTTTTTTTTGGGGCACAAGCTTAAAAATAAAAGCGGCAGAGTTTGTTTCAGAGAATTAAATGACAGAAAAAGGACAATTTTGCAGGCCCACTTGAAAGGCCCGCAAAATAAGAATGAAAAATAAATGGTCGCAAGTGGATTCTCCCACCGACCTGTTGCAAATATTAAACCGCCTTTGGGCCGAGGTCCATATCATCCTCTTATAAGCAAAAACCGCTTTCTTCGATTGGTCTTTTTCTCCCGCCGCTCAGCCAGTCTTCTCCTCTTCAAAAGCTAGGGTTTTTGTTTGAGCTTTCCTGTTCTTCGACTTTCCACAAGATGGTGAGTGCTATCTAACATCATAACAGATCTATGGTTCTTTTTCCTCAATTTTCTGCGTTCATATTCTTCTTCTGTTCGGTTTTGTATTGATTCTCTTTTCTGCGTTCATAATTATGTGAAAAACAGTGCCAAACAAACAATCTTTTATCTGGGTTTTTTTCTTGGGTGGTTTTGCGGGTTATCTGTTGGAAGTTTTTGGTTCATATCATGCGATGTCATTTTACTTTTTTTCTCTTTAAATTATGTGCAGTATATTTTGCAGACTGGATGGAATAATGGGACTTGACAAATTTTGTAATGATGAATTTGCTTATTCAGTTTCCTAATTAATTCGATCATTGTCCGCTGATTTGGTGTGTAGGTTCTTTCAAATGATATTGATCTGTTAAACCCCCCGGCTGAGCTGGAGAAGAGAAAACACAAGCTCAAGCGTCTTGTCCAGTCTCCAAACTCCTTCTTCATGGTATTGAACTCTCCTTTTTAAACTCTAATTTCGTCTTCGTTGCTGGTTGCTCATGGTTTTGCATTATACAAAATGGAAATTTCCTCCGATGCATTTTATCTGTCAGTATTTTTTTCTAGGTTTTTTTTGGTGTCCTGATCAGTTAATTTTTTGGCTTGATCTCTGATGGCCTTGCTGGATTTGTTTTGCAGGATGTGAAGTGTCAGGGTTGCTTCAACATGTAAGTTGTAATCTTTTGTTTGTTTCTGACTGTGATATATAAATTGCATTGATATTTGATTTGACTATGGATTTTTAATTTGGATGCAGAACCACTGTTTTCAGCCACTCTCAGACTGTTGTAGTATGTGGCAACTGCCAAACTGTCTTGTGCCAGCCCACAGGTGGGCGGGCGAGGCTAACAGAGGGCTGCTCTTTTAGGAAGAAGGGAGACTAAATCGCTCTTCATGTTTTGTTTAGTTATCATCGGAGTTTTTCACTTGTTAGTGTTAAGATGGGATCAACCTTTTTTGTCTTTGATTAAGTTATAATAGTGATTTAGATTCGAAGACTTTCAACTGTTCCCGAGACTTAGAATACCACCTAGTTTTCAATTTTGCTCCATATGAATTGTGTATGGTTTTGTTGGATAATTATTTTCCTTTGAATGGTATAAATTATTGTTTGAATTGTCTGTTTTCTAAATATGGTATCCTTGTGTTCAGTTGTAGTGTTAATGCTTTAAGTCTTCAGATTCCTATTGTCACATGGTACTGCTTCTCAACAACGTTGACATAAAATGCCGACCTTGACAGGTGTTTTCTTTAAACGTCAGTGTTTCAGCAATTGTGGCATGCTTTTTGGAACCGCCTGGTGTGGTGCCTTTTTTTTTATGTACGTCTTGTGTTTGTCAAGCTTATTTACCTAGACCTATATAGTCGCCCAGTATCTGTTATCTCTGTCATCAGTCAGATCATTCGGTTGTGTAACTCCTTTCATTCCTTTGATATTTAATTATTATTTGTCAGTCTTGTTGCTTTGATGTAAATCCTTTAGTTACATCATGCATTCACGGGAAAATGTCTGGATGACTTTGTAAGGTTGCAAATCATGTACTGGTGGCAGACGTTTCTGGGATATCAGTCGATTGTACTTTAGGTCTGTACAGGAGATGGCAGATTCTACCAATTATACTGGTTTTATCTCGTCTTAGAGATGATCCAGAACATGGATTTGTTTTCTCTTTCTGGGTTGGGTGAGGTTTGAGGAATCTGAATTATTTTGGATTTTATTCATTTGGTGCTTGTCTTTTGCCGGTGGTAAATGAGCCAGATTGAACAGATCTTTGCGTGCAGATTATAACAAGGCAGGGTAAAGCTAACCTGTTGATCTGTCAGGATTCTAGTCTAGTAAATCAATATTCGAAATCTACTAGTGCCGTAGTTCATTTATTTTCCCTTCAACGGACAGAAACGCCGAGGTTGGTGATGACAATACCAAGTGATTCAGTGGACTCCCCTTTTTTTTTTTGGTTTATATTTCCTAATCCATCCCTCTGTAGTTTTGTCCTTATTTTGGATAGGGAGATTAGGGAATTTTACAGGTTCGATATTCGTTTTTTGGGGCCAAAATCTGAGCTTACAGAGCGCTATGGTTTTCAGTGGATTTTGTAACCCAAATGATGTGAAATTGTTCTCTGCTGGGGATGATGCATGATAGAGGGCGCATTAAGCAAAAGAGAACAATTGTGAAAGGTCATTGTCTAATGAACCCTAGGGATCGAATTTGGGTGAACTAAATCGTGTTTATAGTTAATATTTTCTTGGTAGTTTTTAACTTCAGTTAGATACAAAATTTAAAATAAAAATTATCTTTAAACTGTCCCGGAAAAATTATCATCTGCAAGTTACAAACTAAACCTCAAATTTAAATTTTTTAGATTTAGTTTGAACATCACAGTGCGCGGAATTTGAGAGGGGTGTTAGGGGTAGAAGGCGTTGATTTTATGGGGGAATCTCTTAAGTTTGAGCTTGTAGTTATGGACAATTTAATTTATTATTACTTTTGTGACCTTATTTAGTGATTGGGTTGTTGACAGAGCACGATGGTATCGTGTGATTCATGTAGCCGACCCCACGTAGTGGGATAAGACTTGTTTGTTTGTTTGTGAGTGACCTTATTTAGTCTAGTCTGTTACACCTTCATCAACTTTGAGGTAGTGCTTTATCCTGCATTTCAGGGGAAGGTAATTCTGTAATTTTCCGTTATTCCCGATTGATTGGAAGTTCGTGAATGGACAGGGAAGATTAGAAGTTGGAAACTCATGACTAGCATTCGACTCTTTAGAATCCTCTACTTAGTGGCCCAGAAAGAAAGAACAGAAAAGTGCACCAGCGAAGTGAACTGAAGAATATTTGTTGGCCTGCTGCATTGAGAATAACACCACATGAATCTGTGAATTCTTCCAAAGTCACGCTAACTGAACAGCAGCTAATGCCAGCTACCGCAAAGTGGAAACCCATGAACCTAAACCCTAATAACACGTTTGGTTGGTTTACAAGGATTACATGTAATACAGATACAAAAGATTGATTTGGTTGTTTGATTAGGTTTTTGTAATGTAAAGAAGATTACATATGGGATCCTGGTTTCCTTAAAAGCCGAAAACTGGATAACATGGATGGACTCTGTGATAATGGATTACAGAATGAGAAAAATGCATTGTTGCTTAAAAAAATCAAAACCTATTGGACCCTTCTTCTCCAATCTACACTACCATCGTCCTGCGGCTTCGCGGGTGCCGTAACTTCAACCATGGTGGTTGTCATTTGTGCTCCACCCATTCCTACTTGCTGAAGAACCTTCCCCACAATCACTGGTGTCGGGAGCAACTTTCGTCCTTCTTCGCATTTACACCTTTATCGCATCACCGCCACCATAGAACTTTATCCTCAGCCTCGTTCTCCTACTTCTCCACCCACTTCATTGTCTTCTTTCTCCAGCTTCGACCTCCGTACCTACCTTTCTTCAAGCCCCAAGATCAAACCCCCTCAAAGATCATTCAGATTGGAGATTCATTTGCCATCAAATCCGTTCTCTATCAACCTCTTCCTTACTTCTCCTTGTTTCTGTCTCTCTTTTCTTTTTCTTTTTTTTTGGTTGATACAAAGGAGAAAAACTCCTCCTTGTTTCTTTGACTTGCAAGAATTGTGTTTTTTTCACGGCTGCTTTTTGTGAATTATTTTTTATTTTGTGGAAAGAAATAGATGTTCCCCCCCCCCCCTGATTTGCGACGAGGAAGCATGGCATGGAGGAGGAAGGCTCTTATTCTCTTCCCTTTTCAATAAGACTATCTTTCTCTTTTTAATTTTATTCATAATCAAGTAAATATAAAAAAAATTTTTATTACTACATGTGATAAACAAACTTATCGTAAACATCATTGCATTAAATTACATTCCTACCCATTGCGTTACACTACATTCTTTACCATTCAATAAACCAAACGGCTCATAATACTCTCTCGGACTGATTAGTTATTCCTCTCTTCAATTCCTCTAACGCTAGCAACGAAGACATGCTTCAAAGGTAGCACCTTCTTGAATGTTTACCATCACAACCTCAAATTTAGGCAACGCCTAGAATCCTGTAGGTTATGTTAATTGGATCTCCCCCCCCCCCCCCCCCGGGGTTTTCTTCGTTCTTGCAAACCCATGTGCATCTCTATTGCGCAGTAGACGAGTCACCCAGTACACGAAGCATATTAAATGCGTGTGTGTGTATTTTCAGTATATGTATCTTCCGTTCGGTAACCAGAGCAAACCAGAAAGCAAAGCTAATTCTCTCTCTACTGTTAAAAGCTGATGTGGAAGTTGGAAGAAGTCGGGCTGGACCAATACAATTTTCAGAAACTGATCATTGGTATCTAAAACGCGCGCGCAAAGAAAGACGAAGAACAAGAATCAAGCCGTCCAAGAAACCATTAGAAAAAAACAAACCAGAGAAGAGGAAGAGAAAAAAGAAATGCAGGCGGAAGGGGGTTAGGTGGCCCAGTTTAATCAGCAAAACCACTCCACAGTATCCGAATTTGACGTGAGCATACTATTAAAATTGCATTAGGGATGAAAAGACAGAAAACTGATAGGCAAAGGAACGCATGGGTTGGGCACAATATTTGTCTCAGTGAAGAATAGAAAAGGTTATCGTTTAGGCAATGGTTGGACTTATCGTTGATGACACAGATGACAAGAAGGCATCTGTGTCAGTTGTGGGCATATCCTCCAAAAGCAGTTGACCCAAGTAAACGCCTTTCACAATCTCACTATTATTGTTCACTGTAACTCCGCATCAAGAGGTTTCCTGCACTGTTTTTCAATTATTATTTGCTTTATGGGTTCCCCCCACGCACTCGTTTTTCCAATGTCGATAAGATCTACATTGGCAGGCAACGTCATCCCTTCCCTCACTACATTAATTCTCATCCACTAAAACCTATCCCCGTACGCCAGATCACACCCTCGTGTTCTCTTTTTCGTCTCTCTTGTTTGTCTCTTCTCCTTTTAATTTGGGTTCCCAATGTTCTGCAGAGTCCCTGAACGCAATACTTGCCGTTTTCCTTTTAAGATCAGCCTTGCAAATTTCACAGTCCCTTAAGCAAAGTTTGCTCTCTTCACTGAAACTATTTATGTATGCCTAATGTGAAAGCTTTGCCCAGGGTAAGAAATTAAGAACATGCATATATATATATATATAGTAGTAACAAAATGGAAGTCTTTAACAATATTCTAATAACAAAGCAAGTAACCCATGTTTGTTCATCAGGTCCGTCTTAGCAACCACGTGCTTTGAGATTTGGACGCTGGGTTTGCGTAAGACAGCAGTAAATTGAGTTGCAACTTGCTACTACCTATTTCTGCATTATCTTCTGATACGTTTGTTTAATACTGTAATATATATAAATATTGCTGCGTTATGTTATGTATATATATATATATTTATATATATAGTTGCGTGTGTGACACTCTATAACTCGCTTAAATAACTACCTACAACATGAGCTTATTCAATTCTGTTTATATTAAGAAGGATTATAGTCTAACATTTACAGCTTGATATATCCATTTTTTTCAAAGGACTTGTCGAGTTCAAGCCTAGCTCCGTGTATGCATGTAAAGCCAAAAACTTTTCCAATTAAACATATAATTAAAGAATAAAATTAGGGATTAAGAAGAGGGAGAATCGATGTGAATGATTGATTAAAAGAGGGTGGAGCTGAAAGTGACAAGAGGGGTGTGGGTGTGTGGTGTGCAATTGCAAAGTGAGACACATCAAATGTACGTCCTCTCGTTGTCTTTCTTGTCTCCCTTAATTACTGCGCCCACATGCCTTTTCACATTTCTTCCCATCTCTCTCTCTCTATTTTTTTTTTTGGTTTTAATTCGAACAGAGTATCCTACCTAGCTCTTTAATTATTTCCGCCTTGGTTATGCTTGTTCTAATCTGTATAATACATATGGTTCTGGTCACACAAAAAAATCTGTATAATGCATATCGGTTTCATATATTTAAAATAATACTATTCTGTTTCTTATTATAAGTCATTTACACTCTAAAAGTTTATTTCAAAATATAAGTTATTTGTAGTATAATTAATGATCTTTTTTCAATTTTATCCCTACTAATTTAATAAAAAACTAATTAATTTAAGTCTAAAATAATGACTCTTCAAAA